TGTAAGTGTTCCATAAACATGGGTTTAGCTTATAGTGAAGGTGTAGGTGTAAAATGTACATTGAAGAATCCATCCAATTAAAGAAATAAACAAGAAAGCAATGTTTTTTTTTCTTTTTTTTTTTAAATATTTCCGCATTGCCCAAATATCTAAATAATTCCTTTAATAATAAAATGTAACTAAATTTTTTTTGACAAACACTAGTTTTATAATCCTCATATTTTGCTAAACCCATAGAGAATAGAATATATAGAGAGGAATTAAAAGAATCTCTCGGTATGAATTTTTTCAGTCCCTTTCAGTCTGAAAGGGAGTTCAAAGTGTACAAATCATGTAAATGTTCACAAATTATATGCAGGAGAGTACATTAATACAGTATGTTCCCTAGACTATTCATTTCAATTTCGAATTTTTTAAACTGTTAAATAAACTTTATAAAATTAATTAGGTGAATAAAAAACATCATTTGATTTATAGTTATAACGGAAAATCATCGTTTGTAAAGTGGAAGGCATAGCGTCTATGTGAAATGATCATTGGTCAATTATGAAACCAGCCTATTTCATAATTTGGTTTTCTTTTAAAAATAATTTTAGATTTTCTATAATGATATTCCAGGGCCCTACAGGTTATATAGCATAAATATGTGAAGTACACCTGCAGTATGGAAACAGTACAACAAAATGGCCGTTTTACACTGTTTTCTAGTAAATTCCTCTCTATATATTCTATTCTCTTTGGCTAAACCTCTTCGACCTATGAAATTTTAGACTGTAAATACTGTCAGATCAAATATTCTAAGTTTGAAATATCAAAGAATTTCACTATCAGGTAGCAAAGATATAGGAATTCAAAAATTTGAGTTTGTGGCAAAAACTCGGCTCCTTTTATCATGAAAGACATTAATTAGATATTTGGGCAATGTGGAAATATTTAAAGAAAAAGAAACATTGCTTTCTTGTTTATTTTCTGCAGGGGGTGCAGTGGGTTAAAATTATAAAGATATTTGATAATTAATGTAAAAGGTAAACTATGGACGGTGCAGTTTATTGTAAAGATATTTGATAATTAATGTAAAAGGTAAACTATGGACAGTGCAGTTTATTGTAAAGATATATGATAATTAATGAAAAAGGTAAACTATGGACGGTGCAGTTTATTGTAAAGATATATGATAATTAATGAAAAAGGTAAACTATGGACGGTGCAGTTTATTGTAAAGATATTTGATAATTAATGAAAAAGGTAACCTATGGACGGTGCAGTTTATTGTAAAGATATTTGATAATTAATGAAAAAGGTAAACCATGGACGGTGCAGTTTATTGTAAAGATATTTGATAATTAATGAAAAAGGTAACCTATGGACGGTGCAGTTTATTGTAAAGATATTTGATAATTAATGAAAAAGGTAAACCATGGACGGTGCAGTTTATTGTAAAGATATTTGATAATTAATGAAAAAGGTAAACTATGGACGGTGCAGTTTATTATAAAGATACTTGATAATTAATGAAAAAGGTAAACTCTGGACGGTGCAGTTTATTGTAAAGATATTTGATAATTAATGAAAAAGGGAACCTATGGAGGGTGTAGTTTATTATAAAGATATTTGATAATTAATGAAAAGGTAACCCATGGACGATGCAGTTTATTATAAAGATATTTGATAATTAATGAAAAGGTAACCTATGGACGGTGCAGTTTATTATAAAGATACTTGATAATTAATGAAAAAGGTAACCTATGGACGGTGCAGTTTATTATAAAGATATTTGATAATTATTTGACGGGGGACAAGAAATCTGAATGATTTTGCAAAATTCGTTTTAAGATGAATAAATTCAATTTCCTGTAGATCTTGTAGATTCTAAAAATATCAAGTAAACTACAAATATAACAAGTTAGTAAAATATCAAGTAAACTACAATTATAACAAGTTAGGAAAATATCAAGTGAACTACAAATATAACAAGTTAGTAAAATATCAAGTAAACTACAATTATAACAAGTTAGGAAAATATCAAGTGAACTACAATTATAATAAGTTAGGAAAACTAACTCAACTATTATTAGTTCAATAGTGTCTACTCTGATCCGAAGTGCCGATGAATCCTAATTTTGATTTTTGTTAACAAGTCCCTTGTTACAAGTTTTTAGCCTTGTTGCATTCTTGATTTAGTAAAGTCACTTACAGTTTAAAGCGTGGTAGTAGGGTGTTCCTTAAAGTATTATTGTTAACTGTTTTGGGTTGTTTTGATAAAAACTTAATAAAACTTCCAAGATTTCATATTTGTATTATGTTTAAGTTTTATTTTATTAAGCTTTGCAAAGAAAAAACAGGTTCGTTTTTGCTTCGTCTTTGGAGCATTTTTGGGTATTTTTGGATATATCATCGTCAAGGTCAAAATAATTTTAACAAGTGTACAGGGGTGTATATAATAGAATATCCCCAGACAACGGGTAAACTGTATAAGAGAAGGGGAAGGGGAAGGGGAGGGAATCGATAAGTGTAACCAAGAATCAATGATTATTAGTAGCATAGCCTCAGAATAGAAATGGATAGGTTTAGAATAGAATAGTCTAAATAGGTAGTAGGTTTAGACTAGAATAGGTCATTTATAAAATAGGATATCATCAGAACAGAATGATGATATACAGTAGGACCCGTAGAACTGTGACATGAAAATGATGTTTAAGTTATTTGATGTTCTTATAAATTAAGCAGATAGTTTACCAAGCTTATTACGTAAAATCCTGTGTACACTGAACAGTATTTTATGTTGATTGGCTTATTTAAATCATAACTTGAGTCTAACAATTGTTCCTTTTATGGGTTCCACTAGCTGTGTGCAACATAATAAGGTAAAAAATAGAATTGTAAAGCAGCAAAATCTAGCAGAATAGCAAACAACAAAATATAATAGCAGATAGAGATAATAGAATGGCAACAGAATTTAAATAGAATAGCATCAGAAAAAAATAGTTTAGCTACAGAATATAAACTGAAAACCACAGAATGGCACCAATAGTTTATCAAAGCAACTGAACAGAATAGAATAGTTTATCAAAGCAACTGAACAGAATAGAATAGTTTATTCAAGAGATATAAGAAGGAGGGGGCTGGGGTGGGGGTGATAGGATATTGAATCACTGAATTTTCCTCCTTTTCAAATATGGTTTATAAAATGTTAATTGTTTATTGAACTATATCTTCAGCAATATAGTCGTCTTTTATTAACGTCGATCCTTTAACCATCTAATGTTGGGGAGCACTGTGCACAATCTGACCGTGAACAATGTGTGTAAATTTTAAAGAAGAAAATATATTTAGATATATGTATTTATCTATCGAATCTATCCCTCTCTCCCTTCATGATCTGCTCTCTAGTGTGTAATGTTTCCTCATGGGAAGGGTAGGACAGACACAAGGAGAGAGGGGGGAAGGGGGGTATCGGGTAGTTAACTGGNCTGAACAGAATAGAATAGTTTATCAAAGCAACTGAACAGAATAGAATAGTTTATCAAAGCAACTGAACAGAATAGAATAGTTTATCAAAGCAACTGAACAGAATAGAATAGTTTATCAAAGCAACTGAACAGAATAGAATAGTTTATCAAAGCAACTGAACAGAATAGAATAGTTTATCAAAGCAACTGAACAGAATAGAATAGTTTATCAAAGCAACTGAACAGAATAGAATAGTTTATCAAAGCAACTGAACAGAATAGAATAGTTTATCAAAGCAACTGAACAGAATAGAATAGTTTATCAAAGCAACTGAACAGAATAGAATAGTTTATCAAAGCAACTGAACAGAATAGAATAGTTTATCAAAGCAACTGAACAGAATAGAATAGTTTATCAAAGCAACTGAACAGAATAGAATAGTTTATCAAAGCAACTGAACAGAATAGAATAGTTTATCAAAGCAACTGAACAGAATAGAATAGTTTATCAAAGCAACTGAACAGAATAGAATAGTTTATCAAAGCAACTGAACAGAATAGAATAGTTTATCAAAGCAACTGAACAGAATAGAATAGTTTATCAAAGCAACTGAACAGAATAGAATAGTTTATCAAAGCAACTGAACAGAATAGAATAGTTTATCAAAGCAACTGAACAGAATAGAATAGTTTATCAAAGCAACTGAACAGAATAGAATAGTTTATCAAAGCAACTGAACAGAATAGAATAGTTTATCAAAGCAACTGAACAGAATAGAATAGTTTATCAAAGCAACTGAACAGAATAGAATAGTTTATCAAAGCAACTGAACAGAATAGAATAGTTTATCAAAGCAACTGTAAAGAATATAATAATTTATTAAAGCTACTATCAGAATAGAATAGTTTATCAAAGCAACTGAACAGAATAGATTTGTTTATCAAAGCAACTGAACAGCTTAATATAGTTTATCAAAGCAACTGACCAGCTTAGTATAGTTTATCAAATTAACTGAACAGAATAAAATAGTTTATCAAATTAACTGAACAAAATAAAATAGTTTATCAAAGCAACTGAACAGAAAATTTTTTTTTATCATAGCAACTGAACAGAATAGATGATTTTCATGAAAGCAAATGAACAGATTAGAATAGTTTATCAAAACAACTGAACAGAACAGAATAGCTTATCAAATCAACTGAACAGCATAGAAAAGTTTTTCATTGCCACTGAACAGAATAGTATAGTTTATCATAGTAACTGAACAGAATAGAATAGTTTATTATAGCTACTTAACAGAATAGTATAGTTTATCAAAGCAACTGAACAGGATAGTATAGTTTATCAAAGCAACTGAACAGGATAGTATAGTTTATCAAACCTACTGAACAGAATAAAATAGTTTATCAAAGCAACTGAACAGAATAGAATTGTTTATCATAGCAACTGAACAGAACAGATGATGTTTATGAAAGCAAATAAACAGAATAGAATAGTTTATCAAAACAACTGAACAGGATAGTATAGTTTATCAAACCTACTGAACAGAATAAAATAGTTTATCAAAGCAACTGAACAGAATAGAATTGTTTATCATAGCAACTGAACAGAACAGATGATGTTTATGAAAGCAAATGAACAGAATAGAATAGTTTATCAAAACAACTGAACAGAACAGAATAGCTTATCAAACCAACTGAACAGAATAGAAAAATTTATCATAGCCACTTAACAGAATAGTATAGTTTATCATAGCAACTAAACAGAATAGAATAGTTTATCAAAGCAACTGAACAGAATAGAATAGTTTATCAAAGCAACTGAACATGATATAAGAAACAAGAGATTCCCTTTATATTTGGAGAAGATAATTCTATTTAGATAAACTGGGCGAACTTAGAAGATAATTCCATACTTGAAGAAACTGAACCTGGAAGATAATTCCATATTTGGAGAAACTGAACCTGGAAGATAATTCCATTATTGGAGAAACTGAACCTGGAAGATAATTCCATATTGGAAGTAACTGAACCTAGAAGATAATTCCATATTTGGATAAACTGAACCTGGAAGATAATATAATATTTGAAGAATTTAGAGAAGAACTGGTTCCTCCACAATACAAGGTTTGTGGATCAATTAATATTGGTTTCCCATGATCACGAAGTAGAGAATTTAGAGAACTATATCCGCATTTATGGCTAGAAGATTTAAGGATCAATTAATATTGGTTCCCCATGATCAATGACTAGAGAAGCTAGAGAAGAACTATTTCCGCATATATAGTTAAAAGATTTAAGGATCAATTAATATTGGTTCCCCATGATCAATGACGAGAGAAGCTAGAGAAGAACTATTTCCGCATATATGGTTAAAAGATTTAAGGATCAATTAATATTGGTTCCCCATGATCAATGACGAGAGAAGCTAGAGAAGAACTATTTCCGCATATATGGTTAAAAGGTTTAAGGATCAATTATTATTGGTTCCCCATGATCAATGACTAGAGAATCTGGAGAAGAACTTGCAACTTTTAACCATCAATCTATCAAGTGTATGGTAAAGACTGACTAAGATACCTTTTATATGTAAACAGTAATTCCAATCATTCTAGAACTGTTTTAAATCAATTATCTAATGTGAGAACTGTTGGATACCCATATTCGCAATCCCTTGATCTCGATCCACTGCAGGCACATTTGATTTGAGGATCAATGCTTGGTACCTTGATTTCAGAGCTAAGTTAGAGGCATTCGGTTTCTTCTACTTGAAATCATTCGCGTTTTGATCTATAATTAAACAACATTTAAACTTACGGATTTGATTATTTTATACTTTTTATTCAAAATGCATATGCCGCAAAAAAGTATATAAAAAAGGCCAAAAAATGATGTTTAATAGAACAAATTGTGATCGAAAGTCACAGTTTTCTGGAATATTGACAGAACCGTTAAATCCACGTGTGTTGAATACCCATATTCGCAATCCTTTGATCTCAATACACTGCAGGCACGTTGGATTTGAGGATCAATGCTTGGTATCTTGATTTCAGAGCTGAGAACTTTTGTGTTCCTAATAGCTTGACCTCAATATTCACAGTGAGCACTTTTAATTTGAAAATGAATTTTTAATTTATTTATTTCAGTTATTCTTCCCTTTAACCCCTGACGGGGTACAATTACCATGTGGGATATCGAAAAAAGATCAAATTAATCTGCAGATGTAAAAAGATCAAGATCAAGCATTGATCTCGATATCTCCATTACAAGAGTTCCCATCTCTAGTTTAAATAAAAAACGATAATTTTCTGATTTAGAAGAAACCTTTTAAAACAAAGTTCAATCATATCAAGATACAAATAAGAGGCAGGATACACTGATTTTTAAGGAATATCATAAAAAAATTCCAAATGAATCCAGAAAAACAAAAAGTATGAATGGTTTATGGTTCTATCGTCTTTTATACAAGGCTGTATCAAACAACTTTTGGAGCAAAGTTCATCAAATTGGTTGATAATCGCATTACCCGTAGAGCTAAACTGAGCAGAATTTTTAACAGAAACTTAATTAAAATTTCTTACACTTGTGTAGTATAAAATAATAATATCAAGAGTAACAATAACCTCTAGAATCGACTAATTCTTAATGTAATTGTCAGATTGTCAGATGTCAGATTTGGAGAATATGGTTGAAAACACTCTAATATGCTTGCTCAAGGTAATTATACACATAAAAATTCGAATTATTGTTTCTTAAAAACTAGGAAAACTAGGATAATAACAAATGATTACTCTGATATTTTAGTTCTTGAGTCAGAAGAACAAGTGTGCTATGAGAGAATGAAGTTATACATTGCGAAGATGGATTGATGAGCTTGAGAATACCTTTAGGGTTTGGAAGATATGTGAACTTGATACAAACAAGCTTAGAAGAATCTCAGACGAGATAAGCATCATTCAATGTAATATTTTTGAAATAGTTTAAATTTTAACTATCTGAAGTTCCCGCTGTTGCCCGTGGAATTTGGAAGTTAAATTTTTGACAACAAAAATAAAATATTTTATAGCCTATGTTACCCCCGGGATAACCACAAGCTTCCTCAAAAAGTTTTAGCCAATTTGGTCCAGCCTTTTGGCCAGGTATAGCTAACTTATATATATATATTTACATATAAAATACATACATACATCATAATATATATGAGCAAACAGCTTTATTATATAGAATTTAAAACCTAACAAATAATATTATTAAAGTTCTGTAAACTCTACTTCTCATACTCTCTATCAGTAAAACCTAGGTCCCAGTAATCCTACTTTCTATCTGTAAACTCCAGTTCTTTTACTTTCTATCTGTAAACTTTATTTATCCTACTTTCTATCTGTAAAATCTAGTTCTATCCTACTTTCTATCTCTAAGCTCCAGTTCTCCAACATTCTATCTGTAAACTTTAGTTTTCCTACTTTCTATGCGGTGTACAGAGCTGACAGAGGGGGAAATGAAGGATATTCTAACAGTCTCTGGTTCTAAACTCCGAGTTCTAGAAGTATCTGGTACTGGAATATATGGGATTGGATTCCAGGATCAAGTGAATTCTCTCCCTCTGCTGGAGGAACTGAAAATGGGAAGGTGTTATAATCTGATAGACGAAGGAATTAAGGAGATTCTTAAAGTCTCTGGATTTAAACTAAGAGTTCTAGGCCACATCTCTCCCTATACTAGAGAAACTGAACATGAAAAGGTGTACGGAGCTGACAGATGGAGGAATCAAGGATATTCCAACAGTCTCTAGGCTTTAAACTCCGAGGTCTAGATGTATCTGGTACAGGAATAACAAGGGTTGCAATAACATCTCTCCGTAACCAATATCATGTTGTATGTTTTAAATATAATCACCCTAATCTAAGCTGCTTCGGGTACGCACTGATGTAATTTGAAGTACACTCATCGATATATCCACTAATATCCTGGTATCAAGGATTAAACTGATTAGTAATAATTATCACCTAAGTGCAGTATTGTAGAATTGAATAAAATAAATATAGTGTTAAATAGAATGTTATTACAAAATTTTCGCTTGTCTTAAATACCCGTGGACAAAAATTGGTTTACCCCGTCAAGACAGGAGGAGGAGAATGTACGGTATTTTGCTTAGTCAACTACACTGATTGTTGTTATTAGCTGCAGTACGATGGAGTCCATGAAGAAGGGATATGAAAATAAAATGAATATTTAAGCTGTGTATGGGGTTGAGGTTAGTTATATCCATTATATATTTGGATTTGTAGCTTAGCTTAGCTGAACATGATAAAATGGTAAATGATGACAACTTCTCATAAATATACATTGCTCCCCAAAATCTTCTTAAACACCTGGCTACAGAACTGAAATATAGATTAGGTTTTCTTGCAACCTCCCCAACTGTGGCTAGCCGCTAGAACCATAAGTTGCAACCTCCCCAACTGTGGCTAGCCGCTAGAACCATAAGTTGCAACCTCCCCAACTGTGGCTCGCCGCTAGAACCATAAGTTGCAACCTCCCACCCAACTGTGGCTAGCCGCTAGAACCATAAGTTGCAACCTCCCCAACTGTGGCTAGCCGCTAGAACCATAAGTTGCAACCTCCCCAACTGTGGCTCGCCGCTAGAACCATAAGTTGCAACCTCCCAAACTTTGGCTAGTCGCTAGAACCATAAGTTCCAACCTCCCCAACTGTGGCTAGCGGCTAGAACCATAAGTTGCAACCTCTCCAACTGTGGCTAGCGGCTAGAACCATAAGTTGCAACCTCCCCAACTGTGGCTCGCCGCTAGGACCAAAAGTGATAAGGATTTTTTGTCCTTTTGGTTCACCATGTACAGTGAATAGCTGTAAATTTATTTAAAGGCTGAATATTTGGACTTTTCAACATTTTTTAGCCAAAATAATCTTTTTCTTTGATCACTTAGATTTCAACAGGTTTAAAATCTTCTTGCAGCAGGTCAGGCGCTGCTTTTCCACACAATTATGCCAATGAAAAAAATTTCATACTGCAACATTTTTCAGCTTAGAGACCGTAGACCTTACACGAGTTTCTAGTGGTCCCCTTTGAAAAGTGGAAACCAACCATATGACAATTCTTAAAAAACATTATTACGTATTAATTATGTTTAACCAGTTTGTAAATGGATATTGTTATCTTAACAATCATTGATCTCCATGTTATGCAAATGAATAAATTTTTCCCCTTATGGATATCCCCTGGTGGTCATACCCTGCAGTGATAACTTTACTTCAGGGATCAAGTACTTATCCTCAAATTTAAAAGTGCTCTTATTGGATATCAAGTTCAAGATTAACGATACACCACGCTAAAGTTCCGGCCTCAGGTTGATATAATGAGTTCATTTGAAAACCCTTTTTCATATATCTGTCAGATTTACATGGTTTGACTCAAATCAATTACTTATCAACGTTGACGGGGCGAAAAGTATGTTTGATCTAAGATCACATCATGCAAACCGGATAATCACGAATCATGCTTTTTATTAAGCAAGATTTTCCTTTGTTTTCTAAAACTTGTCCGAGTTTTTGTTTAATACCATGCTTTCGAATTTCGACATTTGATGTAAATTCTTTTGGTTGGACGATTTTCGGAAATGAATAAAAATATACAATGTTATTGTACAGATTTACTGTTCAGTCATTATGAAACCTTAATTTAGGCCTTATCTCTCTGTTTCTCTGTCTGTCTGTCTGTCTGTTATTCTGTTTGTTAGTTCCGATGTTAGGCCATATTGACCCAGATCGTTAAATTATCCAACTACAGTGCAGTCTCGCGTCATGTGACTGAAAACTCAACCATATTGAGAGCCCAGACTAGAGTCACGTGATCCGGTTTCTACCAATGGGAGCACAGTGATTTGATGGTTGCAGTATAAGTCGTCTCACTTTTTGATATGGTGCGGGAGGGGATGGGTGGGGGGGGGGGGGGAGTTTGACAGAGTGGAGGGGGAAGGTCATTCAAGGAGAATTACACAGGTGAAATAGAATTTATAGAAGGTTTATTTTGTTTCCAATATAAATATTTCTTAAAATATCTTTTCTTTTTGTCGTTATTTATCATTTTTATTTTCAATAAAAGAATTATAGCCTTTTAATGATGTATCTACTATCTATACTTAATTGACTAGAACAAAAATTCTGCTTGACTAATAAAACAAATTTATAAAGAACTACATAATTTGTTCAACAACAACATTTTCTGCTGTAAAAAAAGATTTTATTTTTAATGTATTTCTTATTCCCTGAATAGTCTGCCGTGCGGGGGGGGGGGTCTAGAGAGTGAGCGGAGGCTGCTCTACTCCCACCGACCCCGGCAAATAAATTGTCCGTCGAATTTTCATTGAACTCGAGGTTGCGTGATTCTGGGAATTTTTTCTCTCTTTTTAATTATTTTTTTTTCAAATGAATTATTCTCAAGAATTATAAAAACTTTCGAAAACAGAGCAAATCAAAAACATTTGTATATTTGAAAGGTTGAAAAGACCCATCTCTAATAAAAATTTAATTGAAAAAGGCATTTTGCAAAAAAAACTTAACATCCTCTCTCTCCCCCTCTAAATTCCAACCTCTCTCTTCAGACCAGCCTCCAAAGATAGATGCATGATCTCCTCCCTATGCTTGCAAATATAGGGTTTGGAGGATTCAATACAGAGGCCGGATACACTTGCAAATTTTGCCTCTTTCAAACCAAACATGGAAAATGGAAATATTAAAATGTGAAAGAGAGTTCAATATTTGTAAAAGATAAAAGAAATTAGGTTAATCCTGTTTTATTCCTGGTCTAACTCTTGAAATTATCCATTTTCATTGATTCCATTTGTTGCATGAGGTTCACAAATTAACGACGCCGGGGTTCAAAAGACTGGAACACTGGATAGTTTCTTGCTTGTATTAATAAAGCAGGCAGTTTTTTTAGAAAGTTTTTCTTTTTTTCTTTTTAGACAAATATTTTGAGCTTCTTTAGAAAACCGAATTCTTATATTTTTTTCAACAAAGTTGTATTAAAAATTGCTCTTCAGTGAATTTTCTCTTTGCCAAAACACTATTGCTAAAATGTATGAAAACTGTAATACACAGTCCAAACAAAAAGAAAGAAAATAAGAATTTTTTCTAATGAATAAGGCATTGTAGCTCTTAACGGTATAATTTTTTTAAGATTCGGGGGTATTCTTAAACAAATGAGAAAATGGTAGCCAAACTTTTTTGAAAATGTTGTTTTTCTTCTCATATATATATTTGTTTGTTTGTTTTTATGTACGATCATAACTCATGGAATCCCTGGACCGATTTGCATCGGTAGGACCACTTCTGAGTTTAGTGGCTTGACCTTTATAGGGTTAACTCCAGGCAGAGCTGGGTGCACAGGAATTTATTTTATCAATAATTAATCCCCCTTAACAAAAAAAAACTGAGTTAATGATAATAATTTGTCTGAATAAAGGCCAGGAAGAAAATTTCTCACTCTTATTTTTCCCCTTTTTTAGGTCTTGGTACAACCTTATTTCATTTTCCGGACAAAATTTTTTTTATCAAAAAAGTCCATTTGTACTTTAAATTTCCCCGCCTATTGCGTTCTAATGAAGTGGAATCAAGCAACGTAACAGCTTCACTAAACTTTCCAGCTTTCACAGCTTTTATTTACTTCAGCTGTTATTTACAGCCCTGTCAGCTGTCATAATGGCAGCAATAAATCTGACCTCCGTGACAGCTTGGAGGCCGACAGCTGAGACAACAGGAGACTGACAGCTGTAGCAACTGTTATGGGGGGAGTATAACTTAATATTTCTCCGAGGTCTGTAATTCTTTTTAAATGATATGATCTAGAAATTGTACTTTCTCTTATGCACTAAAATAGGTTTTTTTTTGTGATAAGATGGAGGGGATATTTTAAAGAAATGTGAAAAAGATAATTTTTTAGCGTTCTCCGATTTGCCCCCATTGAATTGAGCACAATAAAGAATATCCCCCCCCCCAAAAAAAAAGAAGCAGATTCTTAGACTTGAAGTTTGATGATTTAAGATATTGGGCCTTAAATTTATTTATTTATTTATTATTATTTTTTGAGGAGTGATTCCATTTTAAGAGGAGCATGTCTGATTCACAACGATACCTATTAAATCATCGAGGAAGATATCACCGTTTCTCTATTCTTCTCTATTGCCTTAAATTCCTTAATTTTCTTTGCAGCATAAATGCGCAAGTTACTTTTACAGAGAAACCGTAATAAAAAAATAATGAGTATTTTTAGCAAGATTAAAAATGTTTCATTCATCTATAATGATCAGACAAAGGTTGAAGAGAACCGTTGTGAATCATAAATGGAAGATTACACAGACAGTCCTAGTTAGTAACTTCTTAGTTACATTATTAAGTAGATACATTACTTTCGCAAGCATAGAACACTCTGAATAGTAATTTTCAGGAATATCCAAATATCTTTCAAAATTAAGTTTTTGATGATACAAAAACCGATAAGATAATACAGATCCCATTCCTTAAAAGTTACTGGACCCTTAATGACCCAAACTACATTTGAGACAGCATTATGAATTATAATAAACAGAATATTAACATTCATCGACAATACCTAAACATTAAATCATTATTTTCAGTGTTTCAATGTATTTGTGAATGATATTAAAATATTACAATATTTATAAAACTTCAATTATCACATTCTTCTATGAAAATTAATTGTTTAGAAATTATTAAAAATTAGGATACGTGTGTTTATAGGTTAGGATGCTTTAGGCAAACTTTATTCATAAAGTATGTTAGCGCTCGCTGAACTTATAAGTTATAGCTAAGATAAAAGGAAAAAAATCAGATAGAAGATTTAAATGAGTCTACAGAAAAAAAGAAGAAGAAGAAGAAGAAGAAGAAGAAGAAGAAGAAGAAGAAGAAGAAAAAGAAGAAGAAGAAGAAGAAGAAGAAGAAGAAGAAGAAGAAGAAGAAGAAGAAGAAGAAGAAGAAGAAGAAGAAGAAGAAAAAGAAGAAGAAGAAGAAGAAGACGAAAAAGAAGAAGAAGAAGCAGAAGAACTAGAAGAGTGGAGAGAAGAAGAAGATTATCGAAAGAATGGATTTGCCAATATGAATAGGAAGATTGATATGACTTGATGCTGAAGAAATCTGTTCAGCAGTTTCCTCAAAATCTAAAACAATATATTTTAAAGATTTAAAGCATATTTATACAAAGGGTTACATAAACTTACTAAAGAGACCCCTCTCCCCCCTCAACAATAAATTTTGTCATTATGAAACCTTTGTTCAGAAATATGATATTTCATGAAAAAAAGGATTACTTTAACACTGTAAATGGATAAATTCATAAATTTTTACCTTGCTTTAGGTTTGAATCATGCCTGGACAGTATATCCTGTATCTCCTCTGCTCTATTGTTTTCTAAATATATCACTTTAAAAATTTGTAAAATGTAAAATGATTGAAAATTGAATTTTGAATTTTCTGTAAATAGAAAATCTCGTGAAAACTAAACTAAAATTGGGATAACCAAGATTTAAAAATAAAAATCTTCACAAAAATCACAATCTCCGTGAAACAAAGTTTAAAAGAATAAAACAAACAAAAATCTTAACTAAACTAAGAATCGAATCCAAAAATTGGTACAAAACTCAAAAATCGGAACTAAACCCAGATCGGACCCGAGTACCGGAACTAATCCAAACACCAAACTTTAAATCGGAATCAAACCAAGAACAAAACCTTGAAATCGGAATCAAACCAAGAACAAAAACCTTTAAATCGGAAGTAAACCATAAAATCAAAAAATCAAAAACCAAAAACCAAAATGTTAAATTAAGCCAACAATACAAAATATAAAATCTGGACTAAAGCAAGAATCCAAGCAAAGAATCGAAACTAAACCAAGAAATGAAAACAATCGAATTAAAGTTGAGATTTCACCAAGATTTAATCCAAAAATTAAAACTATGAAATATAGAAAAATATCAGAAAATTAAAAGTAAAACAGAAAATGTAAGAAGATAAGAAAATAGGATTCAATACAAGAAACAAGAGAAAAATTTCTTATTCATATTTTTGACAAAAATTACCAAAAAGTTACATGTATCACAGTTGAGTAGGATTGTAGAAACATAAATATATTATTTTTTTTCTTCATTTTTTGTTTAATTATTTCTACTTATCTGTGGTTACTAATTACCTTCTATTTGTTCTGAGGATTGTTGTTTACCAACAATATTCTCTGCAATACAAGTATATGTTCCTCCAATAGGTTTCTAAAATAAATGATTGTTAATTATCAACGGAAATCTTGATATCGTTAATCTATAAGACCCTTAATTTACAGATCAACAAAAAACGAAGATATCAGCAATATCGTTTTAAGGCACAGTGTGTCCCATGAAACATGACAGTTGTTGAATAGTTTATAATGTCTTCTTCCATAATTTGTTAAGTTGTTTGATATCAATTAGACAACAATACAAATTGTATATGGGAATCATGTACAGTAAAATTGGTTTCAAAGTAAAATATGTTTCAAAAAAAGATTTTTTTTAACGAAATAAACTGCAAAAATCCTTTAATATCTAATAAAGTATATGAAATACGACTTTCATAACTATTTACCAACTGTCATGTTTCGTGGGACACCCTGTAACTATTTTATGTAGATTAAGATTTAAATTTAGAACCGATTAAATGTAGATTTTCGTAATTACTTCTATACATAATTTTAATATTTAAGTACATAAAGTCTCTGGTGCTATTTTTAACGGATTCTGCATGAATGAGAGATTAAAATAAGACTGAAAATATTCCTATACAAACTGGGTGCACATCGATGTAGTTTATGGTTGTCGTCTTCGTTCTCTCTTTTCATGATTAAGATCGTTATTGATTTTGTAACTAAATATATGTTAAAACCATGATCAACTATAGGATACATTGTTGGCGCGGTCCGCCCGCTCCTTGAGCTTGGCTGAGAGTTACTAACCATTCAGTTGTATTTACGTCATCTACGTGCATAAATTAAGATTTTCAATCAATCGACCTGGTTATTTACGGGGTTATCATTACATGTTGCGCACAATATTTCTGCAGTATCAGCTGTCCACAGCGGGTTTATTTATAGTGACTTCGACCAAATATCACGTTGGGCTTTTTCTCAAAATTTATGAATTACAGTGGTTTTACTAAAATAATTCACAATAACAATAATTTTTATTATTCATTAGCGCTCGTGTTAATATATTTGACACTATTTAGTGATTTGAATTTCTAATTCTGGACATTTTTGTTTTAATATATATTTTTATATAATCTGAAAGATTTTGAAATTGAAAACAATTGAGTCGACCCCTCCCCCATCCAACAAAGCACATAGCTAGGGGGGGGGGGGGTTCAAGATGACAGGTACCCCCCCTCCCTTTTAATAAGGGGTGCAATGTCACCTTTGACAAAATTGCAATTAATTGAGATTTAGCATTAATTTATCAAAACTTAAAGATTTCAAAATATAGAATCTCAAACCATCATTTAAGCGTGTGACTTATGTGACATGTGTGACATATGAGAATTTGTTGTAAAATATCTTGCCTGCATATAAGTTCATAAATTTATTAAAGATCATAATGTAGAGACAACAAAAAAATTAAGAAGAAGCTCACAACGCTAGGGGTCCATATAATTCCCAAAAAAGCTGATTTTCTCGATCCCAAAATATTTTTTGCCCCCAACGTAAAAAAATGCCCCCAATTTAAAAAAAAATGCCCCCAATTAAAAAAATATTTTCAAATTCCACTAACACATTTGCCCCCATTGCCCCCAATTTAAAAAAAAGCCACAAAT